GTGAAGTACTAGCAATAGAGATTGAATCCTCTTCTATGGCAATATTGTTGTTGTTAGTATTATTCAATTGATTTATGCTAGCATTGGGATGCAACATGTTTTTTTGTAGTTGTTTTGTTGTAGACTTTCGTTTGGAATGAATCTAAGAATTATTTTCTAATCCATTGTTTGAAACTTTCTGATTTAAACTTGATAGAGAATTTGGATATAAATAGAAATATTAAGCAGTGTACCGTTAGAATTTAAAATACAATAATGAGCTAGATGTGTTTTCAGGTAATGCACATATACAGATTACGTAATTCTTGAAGAAGTATTAAATAACTTCATTTAACTTCATTTAGCTAGAATGCTAGCACCATACAATTATACATCAGATTGATTCATTATGAAAACATGTCTGTGTCCATCAAACAGTTACATCAAAAAGCAATTAACGGACCATTAGAAATAAATAAATTCTAATTTATCATCAATTTTCAATATTTGGAAATTTAAATTCCATTTAAATACAGTTCCCTGTTTGCATTCCGTGCTTGTAATATAATAATAATTAGTATCATCATTAGTGATAATTATCACTACATATTCGAAAAATCAGCTGCCAAGTACGATTTTTTGGTTTTTTTTACGTTATTCCCGCTAAACCCTTTTCGCAAATGCTGGCTTGACTTTTAACGATTTTTTGTTAATGGATTTTTGCGATGTGAGCGAAATGTAGAATTGCCCAAGCTCGACTTGTAAATTTTTTCGAAACTATTTGAAATTTCACCAAGTCTTGAAATTAATAAAGTCTATATTAAATGTATTGATTGTTGTAATGAACTGGAATAGGCCTGTTTGGAAGGGTCAAGAATAACACACGGAACCTTTTTCCTTGATATCTCAATGATACGTTTCGGATCTTCAATAGCAAGCTGTATTGAATAAAAGTCATTAGAAAAGGACTCAACCTGACAAACCTTCTTGGTTTTTGTATCAAAGCATCTCGTTTCTTACTCACTACATAGTTGCCAGCAATACATTGTCCTGAGTTTAAGGGTTCATTCAGATCAAGAAGATCACATAATTGACACCTATCATAATACGTAATGGATTCTATTGAACTTGTTCTGCAGGTGTTAAAGGATTAGCAAGATTTGTTTCCGTAAAGAAGGCAACTCCAAATTTTCTGTGAACTAGTTATATGCTGTTGATTGTACGGCCCTTAGCAATGAATTCTGCCTTTTTGGAGAAGGTCTCATTTT